ACTAAACCTTCGATAGCTATCAACCTCTTTTCCTCTTATTCTGACCTTCAGTGTTTTAAACATTAGGGCGGGGGCTTCTTCAAGTCACCATAATTCAACAAATAGGCAGCAATGTCACCAGTACAGAGGTGACCAATAAGTGTTACCTGGTTGTCACTCAGATAGTTCTGGAACTGGCTGTAGGATGTCAGGAAAATATCCTCACCTTGTTCAATCCAGAGGATCCATGGACTTCAATAGGAAATCTGCCACCATCTATTTAGTTATGACTATAGGCAACTGGACCATGGTTGGATTGGTAGTGCATGTACCATTGTTTTGTTTTTATATCGTAATGATGCGCATGCCCTGAAAAGCCATATACACTTACCACAAATTCAAAATTGTGCCCATTATTAAATCAGTCACTAGATGTTGCTATTGAATGCATCAGTAAAGAAGTCTACGTAGCTCAAAATGAAAGCATTTTAAAGATTGTTTGACAACTATATTTCAACACAATGGGTTCCATTTTCAATCTCTGCATTTTACTTTGTGCATTTAATCACATTACTTTAAGGAAAGGTCCAGCGGCATTAACAGACTGCCAAGAGCTAAGAGGGTCAGGGCAGGTGTTTTGGTCTGCATCCCATGTAGGGGCTTGTTCCAGTACAGCTCCCTGCTACTGTGCCTGGGAAAGCAGCAGCAGACAGCCCAAGCCTTTGCATCCCTGTATTCGCATGGAAGACCCTGAAGAAGCTCCAGACTCCTGACTTCAGACTGGCCCAGCTCCAGCCTTTTCTGCCATTTGAAGAGTGAACTAGCAGATGGAAGTTCTCTTTCTGTCTCTCCCTCTCTCTCTGTACCTCTGACTTTCAAATAAGTAAATAAACTAAATTTTAAAAATAAGAAAGCAGGAACACCTGTGTTAAGCAAGTCACTCTGCCTCTCCAGACACCATGCTCCTCTGTTTAAAAGGAAACAGGACCAGCTCTCCCAGGCTCCCCATCATAACACTCCTGCTACAGCACTCCGGACATGGTGCCCACTGTGAGAGAACTGGGGCCAAGAAAAACGACCACACCTGAACACATTAACAAAGAGCCGCAGAGTCTGCTTTCATTCTAAATCAGCACCCAAGGATCTATCCAACAAAGTTGGGTCTCTTGGATTTAAGGGGCCTAGCACCACTTACCAGTTGCAGAGCTAATAATGAAGTTAATTTCTAAAACTACCTGTTATCACATAATAAAAATATAGAACACTAATCTCAATGTGCAGTAATGAATTGCTTGGCAAATACACCATCAACATTTCCGGCGCGACTCTTGAATGAATGGCTTGCATAGAAGCAGATTTAAAAGTAAGTACATCAACACTCAGAAGTTTCTAGACATTCACCTCTTACACTTGATTGAAATCTAAGCAACAGTGTTGCACACATTCACATCCTCCTTCTCCATGATCACAACAAAAAAATAAGTATGGGGGGGGAGGAGAAAGGGGGAGATAAGGAAGGAAGAAAGAAAAAGAAGGGGAAGGGAAGGAAAAAGTGTTCTCCGAGGCTGCAGGGGCCAGTGCTTGTTCTAAGCACTTTGCACTGGGCCTCCCTTAAGATGGCACTCCATCAGTCCTCTCACTTGGTAACACGTGGCCCACTTAGGTCCACTTAGTGCCAGAGACTGAGTCAACACTGCTGCTTAAGAACTAAAAAACCCAGACTGACTAAATTTCAGTCCTGGCAAAAAAAAAATCTGGGCTAGGTCAGAAACAGCCAAAGGTGGCACCCAGGGAAAAGGAAAGCCTGCCAGCTTCACCAGGCCCCAATCAGAAGCCAAAGCTCCAGTGCCCCACAGCCTGGCCTAATCATGCTGGGCTCTGAGTCACCACAATGTATCCTAACAGCTATTCTCTGCTTACCCCTCCCCCTCCAAGCTGAGCCAAACCTGACCTACAGTCTCACAGAGAGATCACCACGCCAAAGATGTCCAACCAACAAAGGCGATTTTCCAAAGTCAGACCAGTCTGTCTAGTCCACTGTTCCTGGTTTTCTTATCATTTGGGGACATGGGGTTTTAGAGTGGAGGTTAAGACACTCATGCCCCATATTAGAGGGACATGGTTCAAGATCTGGCTCTGGATCCTGCTCCCTGCTGATGTGCACACCAGCAGGCAACAGTGACATCTCTGGTAGTGGAGTTCCTGGTGACCCATGGGAGACATGGACTGAGTTCCTGGCCCAGCTTTGGCCCAGCCCAGTCCCTGCTGTTGCAGGAAGCTGGACAGTGAACCAGCAAGTGTGGAGGCACCTGTTCCCTCCAAAAATAAAAAAAATTAACAAGAGCATTTCATTTTTATTTCAACAATCCAGAGCACGGGTTCTTATTTCCTCTCACTGAACAAAATAAAACTCAAAAAGGGGATGAGATTCTAAAGTTTAGTGAGAGAACTATATCAAATTACCAGAGAAATTAACTTTAGGATACCTCAACATCGAGGACAAGTTACTGATACAACCAACAGCTTTGCTCCCCACACATCCATCCACAGGGGATATTTTTGCACCCCTGCCTCACGTTCCCTGCAAGGTCCCTTATTTTACTACTTCATGCCTTGTCCCTAGTCTCAGGGAATCCAGAGGCTATGGCCTGGAATCCCGAGGCAGTAGTCTCCCTTATGCTGGCTTTACTTTCCTCAGTTTTACTTACCCTGGGTACCCATGTTCTGGAGTTCCATATGAAGTGGGAACTATTTCACAGAGGCCACATAACACTTATTTCAGAGTTATCTTTACTCTATTAAACTTTTATCATGAGTATGCATAAATAGGAAAAAGCACAGTATATATTCCAATGGGCCTCAGTACCCTGCACGGTTTCAGGCACCCACTAAGGGTGTTTGCAAATAGCAAATTGGAGGGAGCAGTGGGAAAGGATCTGAACCTTGAGGTAAAAGCTTAAGTCTCCAATACAGGGTTGGAAGGCACCCTGGACCAGAGACAAACACAACTGGGGTCAAAGTCCCCAAGGAGGGACTCTCCAGGGTATATTGCACAAGAGCCAGAGGGCGTGTAGTAGCACAGGAAAGTTAAAGCAAGAAGCCCTGACAGTCTGGAAGACAGGAGGAACCAGAGTATGCGTTTGCTGAAAGCTGCCTTGAACCTCTGCTCAACAACAATGCATTTTCAGATGACAGACCTTCACTGCTTCAGCCATAGGTTCTAACTCCCTCAAACCCCATGCCCAACAACTCTAACGTGTGTCCTGGAGTGAGCTACCAAGGCACAGCCTGGGGGCAATTCCGCTAACACCTGAGCTCCAGAAATGCAATGAGAATGTTCTTGACTGATGACAAGCAGCACAGTAAACTCATCACAGAGCAGGGGAAAAAAAATTAAAAGAAAACATATCATAATTGCTCCAATGACTACGCAAATAAAAGCCATGTTCTTAGAGCATGCTTGCATTAATTACACCAAGTAACAGTATCTTTGGAAACAGCTTTTAATTCTCTTCAAATGAGAACAGATTACTGTTTTGCGGTTAGTAATTAGTGAGCAGGCATGACTAAATATGCTTTCGTTTAGTGGTGAGTACTCAGTAATACTCCAAAATAAATAAATGGGTTTCATCTGTTTCAGGATTTTTCACTTTCATCACCACTACTCACTAGCTAGTACCTCTGTCTGAAGCCTCATTACACAGATCACAACCTGGTTACCTGGGAACTACAGAGCAGACATCAACCACCCATTACCAGCTGTGCAAAAATTACCAAAGTGCTTAAAAAAAGTCTGAGGCAGAAAACAAAGAATCCTCTGTAACAGAAGCATATACAATTAATAAATATGGAATACAATATAAGAAGAAAGTGTCATAAATAAGAGGGTTAAAAAATAAACACGTGGCTCCAGGCTACAAAAGTTGCAACAGCACTTATAGGTGTTGAGTGTCCCTAAAACTGACTTAAGCACTCAGCAATGTGAGACCCAGCCCCACTAACCAGGAGGTGCCGAAGAGAGGCGAGAGTAAATGGCACGTAGACTAAATGAATGAGCCTGGGAGGAAGTGATAAAACTGTTTATTCTAGAGACTCCCTCAGAAGTCGACCACGGCCTTAGCCCTCGCTAAGGGCAGAGGTCACTGCCTACGACTTCATCAAGCCCAGGGCTCCTCACCTGGCCCAATCCCGCCTCTCTCTGCCTTTGGCTCCGGAGCCGCTCCAACAACCCCACGCAGTCACCCGCGCACCCCCGCACGCGCCCCGCTGTCGCGACCTGCTACGGAGTTTCAGGTCGTACATCCTCATCTTACCCCGGATAGCACTCAGCTCTGGGAAGGCAGACTTACACCCTCTCAGGAAAGGGGACCGTTAGGGGACCGGCTCCACACCCACAGCCCCAGCAGCCGGCCACCTCCGCGCCTCACACACTTCCTCTCCATCACCTCCGCACCGTATTAGCTCCTCACTTCTGTTTCCTCAAGCACGCCCCCGGTCCTGGGAGGAACGCGGGAAGGAGGCTTCCTACCCGCAGCCCCTCATTTTAGGGTTTCAGAGAAAAAAACCCAGGAAGCGGGGAGCCAGAAAGCAGACGCAGTGAGCAAGGTTTCCACCCGCAGACCATCTATCTGCGCGATGCGACGCGCGACACACTCGGGGTCCCCAGTGTGCAACAGGCACGCTCCCTCAGCCGAGCACGCCCCTAAAGTGCACAGCGCCGGAGCTTGGGGCTCCGGAACCGCCGAGAACAGTCCCGAAGCCCAACTACACTTTTTAGTCACTCGGATTTTCGAAAAACTCTCCTACGGCGTTCCCCGGAGAGGGATCCCCGAGTCACAGCAGCTGGAGCTGAGCCAAGGCTGTCGCGCGAGGGCAGCCAGTCTGGAGACACCCCCGAGCTCCTGCTCCAGGCGCGCACCGGTGGCCGAGCGCCCGCCGCCCCACCGTGCGCAACCTTAACAGGGCCGCTGCCCGCGAACTTTGCCGCGGCTGGGTCGGGGCGGGGTGGGGCGAGCACTCACCAACCCCGTACTTCTGCCTCTTGGTCGGGATCCAGCGGGCCATGGCGGCGACCTCGCCCCGCGGCGGCGGCGACGGCGGCTGCGGCGGCGGCTACAGCTCCTCAGACGTCGTCCGTAGCCTCGTCGCTTTGCAGGGCGCCCCGGGCTCTTCCGCCATGTTCCGGCAAACTTCCCTCAGACTATTTGGGCTGTCTGGGCTCCGCGCAGCTAGCGCCGGCACCTAGCCTCCCTCCGACCCGGGCCGAGCCAGCGGGTCACCTGCTGGGCCGGGTGGCCGCGCCGCCGTGCGCGCCCCTCCAGGCACCGCCCCGGCCCCTCCCGCCGGCCGCGCCCTCAGCCGGCCGCCCAGGCCGCCTCAGAGCCCGGAGCCGCGGCAGCGGCCGGGCCTCCCTCGGTGCTGGACTGGCCGCGGCTCCGCCTTGCGCGCTTCCCGGGAGCAGCTTCCCAAGGCCGACTGAGCCCTGGCTCTCCCCTCTCTGTGGCTTGCTTCTCTGCCCGCCTTTCCCACCGAGGTGAAACCCTCGGAGGCTGGGACCCGCTGCCAGTGCCCTGAAGGCTGCGCTCCCACTCTGCGCGCGGCGGCGCGAGGGGCGGAGAAGGAATTGGCAAGAGTGATTTCTTGCCTCCCGGGCACCGCCAGTGCCTGGCACCCAGAGGACGCTCCGTAAATATTTGTTAAATGAATGAGAAGTAGACTACTGCGTTCGCCCCCCTTAGAACCTCCACCGGCACCGCCAGAGCCGGAAGGCGCACTCCATGCCAGGCGAGATCTCCCGAAGCCCCGGACTGTTAGCCCGCAAGGCAGAGCCAGGTTCCTCCGAAGTTTCAGATTGCTTCCTGGGAGGTTGCCCCGGTGGGGAGATGATTGAGCAAGCTCTAATTTGGAACTCCTGTGTCCCAAATCGCTGGGGCTCCGCCCCCTTTCCCAAGAAACCCAGACTCTGAAGTTCGGGGCAAAGTCCACCCTAAGACGTTCCTTTTCCAACTGGCCAGCAGCCCCAGAAAGCATCCTTGCGGAGAAGGGGATCCCGCACAGACTATTTTGTGGAAGAGAATTGCAAAGACGAGCGGGGCGCGTGGGAGCTGCCTTGGGCTCCAGGCGGCGCCGTGGCGGATGCCCCGACGCGGACTCACTTTCCTGGGGAGTCCTGGGCTGCCAAAGTAGGAGATGAGGCGTGGGTGTGCAGTGCGCCCTGGCTCTCACCCTTGAGAGAAAAATCGCAATCAGAGCAAATAAGCAGCTTAATTATAGTCACCGGCTAAGCAAATGCATCTCCAAGGTTTTCCTGCCTATTTAGAACACGAAAAGAAAGTAAGTTAAACATATAGTTAAGCTCGTTGGGAGCATTAGTGCGTTTTGGGTGATTTTGTGCAACATCAGTCTGAAATTTAATTAATTTAAAATCCCGTCCATGGGCACGGCCGCAATAGCCTAGTAGCCAAATGCTCGACTTGCTAAAGGCCAGCATTCCACATGGACGCCGGTTCGTGTCCCGGCTCCTCCACTTTCCATTCAGCTCCCTGCTTGTGGCCTGGGAAAGCAGTAAAGGAGAACCCGAAGCCTTGGAACCCTGCAGCTATATGGGAGACTCAGAAGAAATTGCTTGCACCTGGCTTCGGATTGGCTCAGCTCCAGCAGCTGTGGCCACTTGGAGAGTGAACCAGCAAATGGAAGGTCTTTCTGTGTCTCTATTTCTCTGTAAATCTACCTTTCCAATAAAAAGAAATCTTTTAAAAAGAAAAGAAAAAAGACCCGTTAGTGAGTAAATCCTGAAGTTTACGTTCTTCCCATCAAGGATTTCATGTTGAGTCATATGGGATCATGACTTAAGAAATTCTTCCCTTGGGCCCGGTGGCGCGGCCTAGCGGCTGAAGTCCTCACCTTGCACGCGCCGGGATCCCATATGGGCGCCGGTTCTAATCCCAGCAGCTCCACTTCCCATCCAGTTTCCTGATTGTGGCCTGGGAAAGCAGTAGAGGATGGCCCAAAGCCTTGGGACCCTGCACCCATGTGGAAGACCTGGAGGAAACTCCTGACTCCTGGCTTTTTATCGGCGCAACCCCTGCTGTTGAGGTCACTTGAGGAGTGAATCATCAGACAGATTTTCCTCTCTGTCTCTTCTCCTCTCCGTATATCTGACTTTGCAATAAAAATAAATCTTTTTTTTTTAAAAAAAATCTTCCCTTATCGTAGACTTGATATCAGAAGGAATTCCGCTGCCTGCTGAGAATAAATTTAACTTCCCTCTATCGATAACGTGATTAACCTGAGTCCTAGGGGCAGTAATTTATTTGTTTATTTTTCTCTCGCGCTCTCTCTTTCTTTTTCTTTCTTTTTTTTTTCGGACAAATCTGAATCAAGTGCCTACTAGGAGTCAGACATTGTTCTAAGAGGGAAGGCTGCACCACAGTAAAGAAAATCCCTGTCCTATGTCAGGGAAGATTGTGGGGGATGCTCTGGGAAACTGGACAGGATCCCAGGATGGTAATTTAGGCAGCAGGGATGGCCAGGCAAAGGCCACCAGGCACGTTAGGCAGGTTTGCAGACCAGCCAGAAATCCCCCCTGCCGTGAGTGAAAGGAAGACCTGCCCCAGAGGCCTGCCAGGCTGGTGCAGGGCTCTGACTGGCCTAAGGACTTCCTGTACTCCTGGGGTCATTTGGTGGCCTTAACTGCCTGGGGCATGGCCCAACTTGCTTGCTGTGGTATGATTAGGCTGCACAGGGGCAAGGAAGTGCAGTGTGGGTGCCATGTGAGTGGCTCAGGCACAAAATGCCGGTGGTTGGGTCAGCCTGGCAGAGGAGGTGAAGAAGAGCCTGAGAGCTTGCAAGAGACTGACAGGAGAGCTGGCAAAAATGCTGTGTGGACAGAGGCCTGTGGCCCCAAGGGTGCTCTGTCAGCTGAAGCTTTTGGAAACTTTGCCCTCTTTCCCCCAAAAGAAACATTTGTATCCTTTTAAGCACCTGCCTTCTCATTTGGATAACCTTCAGGTCAGGCCATAGCAAGGTTGTCTTGCACTGGAGTGTGAGACAGTGCGTCCACAGTGACTCGCAAGTTTGGGGCTTGAACCACTGGTCAGTTAGAAGGGCTGCTCTTTTCCTGGGATTCTGTGGTATGCACTCAGCATACTCGAGTTGTTGTTTGAAGTTTTCTTTCAAGGCTGGATTGAAACCTCCTTATAGAGGCTACCCGGAGTTCCTTACACAGTCCTGCGTTCAGGAACCACACAGGTACAACTGAGTGGTCATTCTCTCAGCCAGCGGAGCCACCTTTCTTCCCAACATGGTTTCAACTGCCTCCCCGCACTTGCGCATGGCAGGCTTTGTCCAAAATAAGAGGACTGCATTTGAGCTTCAGAGGTTTCCAGCTTGGCAATAATTCCTTTAGAAGAGTTGGAGGGAAATGGAAAATGTTAATTACTGCTTTCAGTCTGTTTATTCTTTTCCCTCTGAGGACTGAGGTCCACCCACTTTGCTGCATCAGGAGTGTTCAATCCCAGTTTGAAACTCCATTGAAATGATAAAAACCGAACCATCCACAGTCCTTTATTAAAATGAGGCTTTAAAGAGTCAGCCAGATGGGGAGGTGGAGTGATGGCATTCTCCCCAGAAATAGCCTGTTCTCCTTCCTCTGATATCTTCACAAAAGATATCTTCCATGTCCAGAGACACTTAAGCATCAACATGCACACGCACGCACTGGCATGCTCGGCTCGCAGGAGCCTTGGGCAGAGAAATGAGGACAAGTCAGTCGGAAGGCTGGTTTTACATGAATGTTATGACAGCCCCTTACAGTGCCAAACAGAATAGATGGACTGGCAGAGGCTTCGCTGTCGCTGCTGATTTTCAGGCTCATTTGGCTAAATCTGGCTGACTTGGTAGCTCTTCTGGCACAGGTTATGGATTCTGTTTAAAAAGAAAAAAATGACCTGTTTTCTTCCAATCAATTGTATTCCTGTGCTTGCTGACCTTCTAGGGTCACAATGTCCCTCTACAGTTAAGCACAAGGAGCAGATTACAGGAAAACATAGGGGTCAGGAAGCTGGCAGGAGGGTACCTGGATACCCCCTGGACAAGGGAAAGCGGCAGCGACAGCAAAGTGGTATTACAGTGAACAGAAAACCCATCAGCACCCTGCAAGCAGAGATCCAGACACCAGTAATAGCTGGGCATCCAGAGGCGGCTGTGAATTGGCTCTTGCGGCAGCCAGGCGGGAGCTTATGTTTGTGCAGAGAGCTCAGGAGGCCAATGCAGGCTGAGACCTGCCAATCCAGCTGAATAGTTTGGTCCAGCAACGAGTAGAGAAAGAGCCACAGATTTCAAGGCGCAGATCAGTGGCAGGAGGGGACTCACAGCCGGGAGATTGTGCGCCATCTTGTGTGGTGGGGCAGTGTATGCAGAGTTGAGGGGACCGCCCAGAGTGGGTTGGTTTCTGACCAATCACACAGAGCTGATCCCAAGGGGAGGGCAGGGCCAGTTTCGCGTCCTGCAGGGTCTGTGCTGTCCCCGGATCTGAAAGCCAGCAGCTCTGATGCTCCAGCAGTGCCCTGCTGGGAACGATCTTGTGTAGTGGGGCAGAGAGTGCAGATTACAAGGGATGGTCTAGAGTGGACTCGTTTCTATGAGCTAACCTCACAGGAAAAGCAGCACCAGCCTTGCATCGTGCAGGGTCTGTGCGGCCTCAAGATCTGACAGCCGACAGCCCCAAGTCACTCTCTTGCACAGAGGGCAAGGGCTCAGAGATCAGGAAGAGCAGTGGTAAACTGCGCATGCACTAAATCAGTAGAGCTAAAATGCCATTTTCATGGTACCAGGCATTGTTAGACTGAAGAGAGGACAGCTGAGCTGTGCAAGAACTAAGCTGGGATCAAAATCACTTCCCAGCTTAGAACACCGCACAGGAGCCTCAGAATAAAATAGTTCCAACGTGGCACTCTACAGACTTCACCCAAAATAACGCAGGTAGCCCTCAAACTTAAAGACCAGCACGTGTGGACAAGATCAGTGCTGGCAACAACCAGTTATTTAGGACAACTGGTATCTTCTTAATTTGGGACACTGATCAAACATAAAAATTGACTTGTAATCTGTAGGTAATACATCTTAGAAACCTGCACTAAGGAGAAGAACCACCAACCAGAATTGCAATAACAAAAAGTAGAGGAAGAGACAGAGACACTATAAATGTTACTGAAGACTCCCCTGCAAAGGAGTAAAAGTCTCTACTACCCTCAAGTTAACTGAGGAAGACATGGAGAAAATGGGAGA